GATATGAAAGGAAAAGACGTTCGAGCAGGCTCTTTTCTCTCTCCTATTTTCAGCACATGTTATAAATCATCAGTATTCAGAACCATCATTTTTTCCCCCTTCCTTTTGTCTTTTTGTCTTTTTTCTTGCTTTTTTTCCTTTTTATAACATTTATGATACAGTTGGAAAAAGTAAAAACAGGTTTCATCAAAGGGTATTTTATGTGCATTGAGAATATATAAAAAAATCCAGACCATAAAAAATGGACCATTTATGTAAAAAAAACTTTGCAAGCAGCCACTTGTATATTTTTTCAATCTAACATAAATTATTAACAATTTATTTTACAAATATAATAATTGAAATAAGAATAATGATAATTGAGATGATAAAAAAGGGACAAAAACATAGGACGAATAGGATGAGGCAACCATCTTGATAAAGTATTATCTCAAACAGGATTCCACATGATAAATAAAATAATAATGTGGTAAATCATGTCATTAATCTTGTAAAATCTACTTGTATATTGGTTCTTTATATCATCACCCTTGAAATAGTAGGGGTGGACAAAGACAATGATTATCGGCTATTTTAACTGATGGATCATGTGATTTAAGCTAAGTGCTATGTAATCTTTTATTATTTTAAATATCTATATAAAATATTAATTAAAATTAATAAAAATAAATAAAATGAATTAAATTATAAATTTAGATTTTTAAATAAATTACTATGTTCCCACAAAACAAACAAAGCCTTATGAAGCAACCACTTGTGTTAATATAAAGTGAAATAAAATTGTAAGGTTTTTGTTTTGAAATAAAATTGTATGACATATGATAAATAAAAGTTTGGTCAAATTGATACTAAATAATTTAAATTTCTTAATTTAAAATCAAGATTAATGGTTTAAATATGTACAATATTAATTAGTTAATTTTTAATATACATACAAAAAATGCATAAATTGACATCACATCTAATAAAATTTTGATATTTTGATTGCAACACAATTTAGCTAAGCCGGGTTATGAGAGAGATTAATAATTTAAATAGTTTAGTGATTATTTTTTTAATAAAAATAAAAGGTTTTGACTTTTAATCATATGACATGGAGTGAGAAAGTTAAGAAATGAGAGAAAATTGTTTTTTTTTTTTAAAAAAAAAATAAGTTAAAAAATGAGAGAAAACCTAAATTAAGCAAAAAAAGTCTATTTATAAGTAAGGTTGCCCCAAGATTAAAACAAATAAAAAGTCTAGTTATGAGAGAGATCGCCTTTCCTTCGATTATACAATCTGAAAAAAAAGAAAAAAAGAAAAAAGAAAAAAAAAAGAGAACCGTTCCATTTCTACATTTCTGTGCAAGGTGAGGTTTATTTTCTTTTTTCTTTTTTTCATTAGTGGATCACATTTTCCACACTCCTCAAATATCAGCTTTCACATAGACCAACTTTTCCGAGGAGCTGTTCATATATTTTCCATTAACTTCCACTCTTCTTAAATGGTTAATAACACATGAGCTTATTGATTACTCCAGAAAATTAAAATTGAAGGTTGAAGTTCACGCTGTTCAGCAACTGACTTAATTAGATAAGTATTGGTCAATAAAATAATTTAATTGATTATAATAACTATTTTCACATCTCCTTTCAAAACGGTTATGTTTATTAACATTATTGTTTTGGCTATTAAAATCATACAATATTATCATTAAAAATATTAATTTTATTGAATTTAATTGATGAAAAATTAATATATAAATTAATGTTTTTAAATACTATTTAAAAAAAATTAAAATTTTAGTAATCTTAATAATTTTAATTATAACAATAACCCCATTCTAAACATGCCCATGAAAATAGCCTAATTACGGTAAAATACCTCAATCCTTGTAGTTGTAGCCTTCTGGAGAGACTACAGTGATCCCTGCCATTAGAGGCGGATGAGGAATATTTTTCTCCGAAGGGCGTAGTCTTTTCCCAGCAAAATTTATTAAAATCTTTGATGATACCCCTGAAGAATTATAAAAATTATTATTATTTTATGAGTCAAAGTTGAAACTTTATCCCTGAAATTGAGAAATATATTTTACAATAAAATATATAACTATCAAATTACGAAATTCAAGTGCGGAAATAAGGGATATTTCAATCCTTACGAAAACAAGATATAAAATACACGGAGGGGATTCAACAGTTTTGGGTGCTCAACTGTCAACACAAAATGGAGGGATGTTGGACTCCGAAGGAACATGGTCTGTATGGAATCAAACACCCTGTCTTTAGGCCCAAAAAGTGCCATTAAAATTAAACCGTTTCTAGAAAACTAAATGGCGCATGCAGTGGTTAAAAGAGTCAGAGACCAGCTCTCTCATGGTTTCCTGCTTTCCAGGTCCAAAAGCAAATTGGATGAGAAGAGAGATAGCGGGTTGTTGCTTA